CCCCCCTCCCCCCCCCCCCCCCCCCCCCCCCCCCCCCACCTTTCCCCCCCCCTCTCTCCCTCCCCCCCCCCAACATTCTCTCCCCCTCTCTCCCCCTGCCGGTGCCGGTGCCGGTGCCGGTGCCGGTTCTGCTGTGACCCGCCTATTCCTTACCCACTTTGTAGGGTAACTTGTCCGACATGTTACTGCTCGGAATGAAGCTCTGTACAAATCTGGATCAGCCGCACTCTCTTGTCCCGGTGCCGCGCTCCGGTCTCTGGGCTAAAGGCCGTGCCGCGCGCTCCCGCGCCTTTTTAACACACCGCGCGCCTCATTTGCATCTCGGACCGGAACCGGCGTTGCGCAGGAGACCCCGCCCCTCCCACACGGCCATTGGTGGTTTTACGGGAAGGGGCTGGACATATTCCGAATGCGGAACTTCCGGGAGGAGGATCGGAAGAGAATCGCTGAGCACGTTGTCGCTGCATGGCGTTGTATAACTTCATTGATTATTGCTGCAGGACCTTGTGTGTCCTTTATAGTTTATTATTTCAGCACCCTGTTACCGCGGGATCTTCTATTTCCTTTATAGCTTATTATCGCAAAACCTTGTGTGTTTTTATAAAGTTTTATTGCCCGATTCTGTTTTCCCTTTCAGATTATTATTGTAGCACCCTGTTACAACAGCATCTTCATGGAATTTTCAAGTACAGGAGGAGGCCATTCACCTCATCCTTTCTGTACCAGCTCCCGAGGGAACTTCTCAGTTAGCCTCACTCTCCATAGTACTTGAACTTCCTCAATTTCAAATATATATTCAGCTCTCTTTTGAAACCACCTATGAAGTCCACCTCCATCACTCTCTAAGGCAGCACATTACAAATTATAACAACTCTTGAGTAAAGACGTTTCTCCTCATGTCATTCATCACAGAAAGATACGTTTTAGTTCAATTCATTCATGGTGACCAGACATCCCAATCTGACCTGGTCCCATTTGCCAGTATTTGGCCCATATCCCTCTAAATCCTTTCAATTCATATCATTGTACCCATGTCCACCAGCAGCTTGTTTCATACATTCACCATCGTTAGTGTGAAGAAGTTACCCCTCAGGTCTTTTCTAAATCTTTCCCCTCTCACCTTGGACATATGCCCTATAGTTTTAAATGCCCCCACCCCTGGAAAAAGACTTTGGGTATTCACCCTACCTATGCCCCTCATGCATATTAGAAATTGCTGGACAAATTCAGCAGGTCTGGCAGCATTTGTGGAGAGAAAGTAGAGTTAGTGTTTCAGGTCCAGTGACTTGTCTTTAAAACACCTTCTTCAGATGCTGGAGGGGGAAAAGAGAGTGATTGGTATTATGCTGTATGTCTCAGTGTTGTGTGTACATGTAACTCTGTGCACTTTAGGCTCTGTCTAGTCGTGTAGCCTTGTTAGTGCGAGAAATCTCGGGTGATGGGTGTCTGTGTGAGACAGGGAATTGTGGATGTCCAAATCAGCATATTTGTGTGTCCCAGCCTCCGCTGTGTGCTCAGTGTGTGGGTTCAAGTCAGTGTCTGTTTTATTGTGATGAGTAGCATCAGTTAACCTTTAGATAGAAACAGTAGAATTTGTAAATTGTTTGGATGTGGCCTTAAGCAGAGGCCACTTGAACAGGTATGGCAACGTGTACTAATCAGTAGTAGTTTGGTGCTATGAATTTGTGTAGAGCACAGAGACACTGTTGACAGTATCTAAAACTGTTAATTATTAATAGGCAGAGTACAGACAACTTAACCTGATGAAGGGTCTAGGCCCGAAACGTCAGCTTTCCTGCTCCTATGATGCTGCTTGGCCTGCTGTGTTCATCCAGCTCTACACCTGGTTATCTCAGATTTTCCAGCATCAGCAGTTCCTACTATCTGACACTCTTTCTGTTGGTTCATTCATCCTCTAGAAAGCTAATAAATTACCCCAACACTGTGTAATCTTATCTTGTGTATTAACCTTTTGTGTGGCAGCTTATCAAATGCCATGTGCAAGCCCAGATATAGTATAACTATGGGATTCCCATTATTCATATTGTTTGTTAAATCTTTAAAAAAAACTCTAGCAAATTAGGCAAATATGATTTGCACATCATAACTGTGCAGATGGATTGCATTTTGAATTTCCAAACATCCTGTTGTCACTTCCTTAATAAAATCAAATCACACAACACCAGGTTATAGTCCAACAGGTTTATTTGAAAACACCAGCTTTCAGAGCCTTAGTCCTTCAGGTTTACTGCCTTAATAGTTGATTCTAATAATTTCCCAACGACACAAGTTAAACTCACTGGTCTGTAGTTTTCTCAAACAACGATGAGACAGAACACAGGAAATAGGTTGAGTGCTTAGTGTTGTCTTTACACCATGCCAATCTCTCAGTCAATGTCAGCAAAACAAAGGAGCTGGTCATTAACTTCAGGAAGTGGAGTGAAGGGCATGCTCCTGTCTGCATCAATGATGCTGAGGTGGAGATGGTCAAGAGTGTCAATTTCCTAGGAGTAATGATCACCAACAATTTGTCCTGGTCCACTCATGTTAACAAGACAGTCAAAAAAGCACAACAATGTCTCTACTTCCTCAGGAGGCTAAGGAAATTCGGCATGTCCACAAAGATTCTTACTAATCTTTTTAAATGCACTATAGCGTGGTATGGCAACTGCTCACCCCAAGACTGCAAGAGACTAGAGAGATTTGTGAACACAGCCCAGTCCATCATGCAAACCAGCCTTCTATCCATTGACTCCCTATCTATACATCTTATTGCCTCTGGAAAGCAACCAAATTAATCAAAGACCCCTCCCATCCTGGTTATACTCTCTTCCATCGGGCAGAAAATATAAAAGTTTGAACAAATAAGAACAGATTCAAAAACAGCTTCTTCCCATCTGTTATCAGACTTTTGATCAGACCTCAGATGTTAACTATGATTTCTGTCTGCACCTCTGCAGCTGTAACACTGTATTCTGTGCTCTGTTGTGCTACCCTGATGCACTTTTTATGGTACGATCTGCTTGTGTAGAACACATAACACCACTTTTTGCTGTATCTTGATACGTGACATCAGTCAATCAATCCTACTTTCTGCCTCCCTCCCTTTTCGAATAATGGCATTATATTAGCATTTTTCCAATCCATTGAAAACTTTCCTGTATCCAGAGATTTTTGGAATGTTGAAACCGATGTATCCACTATTCCACCTGCCATTTCTTTTAAGAACCTAAGAGCTAGGCCATGAGGCCCTGGCAACTTGTCTGCCTTCAATCCGAAAAGTTTGTTTAGTATTTTTTCCTTAGTGATGATGATTGTCCCAAATTCATCCCTTTCTATTAATGCTGCATTACCTGTTAACAGTTGTTATGCTACAAGTGTCATTTACCATGAACAGTGAAGCAAAATATTGATTTCGTTACTCTGGCATTTCTGTATTCCCCACCATTAACTCCCGAGCCTTGTCCTCAAAGGGACCAACATTCACCTTAGCTACTCTTTCATTTCAAATACTTATAGAAGTTTTTTGCAATCTGTTTTTACTAGTTTTACTTCATAATTTACTTTTGCTCTTTTTGTGCCGTTTTTAGTAACCCTTTGTTGATCTTTAAAAATTTCCCAATCTTCCAGCCTGCCATTCGTCTTTGCAATATGGTATGCCTTCGTTTACGTCGGTATATTTTTAACTTCCTTGCTTAGCCATGGATGTTTTCTCCCCCTCTTATGATCTTTTTTCCTTTCTGGAATTATATTTTAGTTGGGAGTAATTGAGTATTTCCTTAAACATCTGCCGCTGTTCATCAACTGTCCTAACTTTTAGTCTTCCTGCCCACTTCACGTGGGCCAGATCTGTCCTCATGCCTGTCTAATTGCCTTTGTTTAACTTCAGAATGCTAATTTAAGACTCCAGCTGAATTTGAATTTAGAGGGCAATTTGCTGGTCAAGATGGTGGCGGAGCAGGGCTCTTCAACCAGCCTCCTCCACTCCTTTTGTTATTTCTTTTTTTTGATTTCCCGTTTACCTGTTTTTGGTGTTTTCCACCCCCCCGCTGCCCGCCCCGGCGTTGGTGTTCATCTCCCACGTGCTAGGTCTTGGCCGGGTGTCTGTGGGTCTCAGCCTGGAGTCTGGTCTCTGTGCAGTATGTCGGCCATCCTCTCAGCAGCTCAAAATCTCCCCTCCCCCTACTGCATCCCAAAACCAGTCCAGCTCGTCCCTGCCTCCCTAACCTGTTCTTCCTCCCACCTATCCCCTCCTCCCACCTCAAGCCGCACCTCCATCTCCTACCGACTAACCTCATCCCGCCCCCTTGACCTGTCCGTCCTCCCTGGACTGACCTATCCCCTCCCTAACTCCCCACCTACACGCACCTTTACTGGCCCCATCCCCGCCTCTTCGACCTGTTTGTTTCCTCTCCACCTATCCTCTCCTCTATCCATCTTCTATCCGCCTCCCACTCTCTCCCTATTTATTTCAGAACCCCCTTCCCCTCCCCCTTTTCTGAATACGGGTCAAGGCCCGAAACGTCAGCCTCTCTGCTCCTATGATGCTGCTTGACCTGCTGTGTTCATCCAGCCCTGCACCTTGTTGTCTCGGATTCACCAGCATCTGCAGTTCCTGCTATCTCTGATTCTACGTCTTGATCTCCTGTGGTGATATCATGTCTCACTACAGTACTGAACTCTTCCTTTACGGATAGTGCTACACCATCTTTCCTTTCCTGCCTATGCTTCTGAAAAACTGACTCGCCTTGGATATTCAAATCCCAAACCTGGTCTCCCTGCAGCCGCGTCTCAGTAATCACCACCAAATCACATCAATTTATGTCTATTTGTGCTCTAACATCACTAATTTTACTCCAAATGCTTCACACATTTAGATATAAAGCCTTTAAGTTTGTTCTACTATGAAATTTCCTGACTCTTGTACAATTGCTTGGTGCAAAATGGTGGTCATATTCTTCCCTCCGTTTTGTTTTCTGCTGATTACAAACCTGCACTCTTACCTTGTCCTTTAATTTTCATTTTCTAATTTTCCATGCAATGGAACCTTTCCCTCACTAATTACAGTCCTAGTTATTTGATTTGCCAGGACCTTGGACCCAGCCTGATTCAGGTAGAGTCCATCTCATCAGAACAGTTTCCTTCTTCCACAGTACTGGTGCCAAAGTCCCATGAGTTCAATCCAGTCAAATGCGAGGTGATGCATTTTGGATGATCCAATTCAAGAGTGAACTATATGGTAAATGGAAAAGCCCTGGGGAAAATTGATGCACAGAGAGATCTGGGTGTTCAGGTCCATTGTACCCTGAAGGTGGCAACGCAGGTCA